GATAGGTCTTAAGATGAACATGGACAAAACAAAGATCATGTTCAATGTCCATGTCACACCTATGCCGGTAGTTGTTGGGAGCACTAAGCTCGAAGTTGTTGACGAGTATATTTACCTGGGACAAATAGTCCGACTAGGTAAGTCCAACTTCGACCGAGAGGTCAATCGACGGATTCAACTCGGCTGGGCAGCGTTCGGGAAGCTACGACACATTTTCTCGTCAGACATACCTCAAAACCTGAAAACGAAATTGTACAACCAGTGCGTGTTGCCAGTGATGACTTACGGAACTGAGACGTGGTCCTTCACTGCTGGCCGTATGAGGAAGCTCAAGGTCGCTCAGCGAGCTATGGAGAGAGCTATGCTCGGAGTTTCTCTGCGTGATAAGCTTAGGAATGAGGATATCCGCAGTAGAACCAGAGTAACCGACATAGCCCAACGGATTAGTAAGCTGAAGTGGCAGTGGGCCGGCCATATAACTCGAAGAACCGACAACCGATGGGGAAGAAAGGTTCTCGAGTGGCAGCCTCGTACCGGTAGGCGAAGTGTAGGGCGTCCCCCCACGAGATGGAGTGACGACCTGGTAAGACATGCAGGAAGTCGATGGATGCAGGTGGCTCAGGACCGTGCTTTGTGGCATTCTTTGGGGGAGGCCTATGTTCAGCAGTGGACTTGTGAAGGGCTGTAATGATGATGATGATGATGATGATTCTACCCGCAAATTCCGCACTTGGTTTTAGTTTGGTTTTGCTATCGTCCGGATGTTTATTTGAAAATGCCGAAGCGAAGGCTTAAGTCTTTATCAGTACGTGTCAATGTCAACAATCAGTGACCAAAACATATTTGATAAAATTTATGACAATGAAAAACATCTTATAATTTGCAGGTCCCTTAAGGTCCCAGTTATCCAGGTTTCACTGTATATAAATAATGATATATTCTTATTGCAGTTTTGAAAATACGATTAAATAAGGCTTCTACTTTTTTGAAACTATACCAAATTGAATGTGATTTATGGACAACAACTACACGCACACGCGCTCCTCTGTATGCGTTTTAATTGAAACGAATGTGTGCGTGCGTAGTAAAATAGTTAGCATTAGATATTTATGAATGACAATCAGTTAAAATAATGCGGTTACCACGCATTCTGAATTGAAAAGATAAAAAAGAATGTTTGAATTCTGTTTATTCATTTTTCTTTACTATTACTTATTCTGAACCTTCTCTGCAAATTTCGCCATATATTGCAAAATAACCCTGTATGCAAAATAATCATAACCAAAGACAATTTTGAAGTCGCATAAAAGTGTTACGGAGTAGTGTATAGAAGAGTAGTACATAAAGGTAGCACGGAGAGAGTATTATAATCAGAGAATTAATACCTGCTAATTCAATAGTTAGCAGGTATTAATTCTCTGATTAAAATCAATGTCTTCAAAGTCACATGTTTTCTAACGTATCGAATTCGTTTTGCCAGTGACTTCTTATTTTTCAGTAACTTTTATTGAATATTTCAAGATGTCAAAGCGGCAGACTTATTACTTTCACGTTTTTTTCGGTAATTTTTTTACACCTTTCGCAACTGACCGTATCTATATCATCCGTCGGTCAAACTACAGAGTCCCCATTTCATGTACCTCAGCTCAGGTATAGGGGATTAACTGAAAATAAAACATGAAGCCTATGGAAATACCGAAGTTTGCTGCTCACTGACTCTTAGACAATACATATGTATATCCTTACAACTAATCGATATTGACAATCACTTTGGACCAATTTTTCAATCCTCAGATAAAATTTATTCACAGGAGAAAATAGGACATAAAGATATTAAAAATTAATTAATGAATGAATAAAATTGTTAAATTATTTCATTTTTATATTTAATCGGGTCATCTGACAATTGAATAATCAGTTCTTAAGAAATTGTACCGTTGACTAGAGTTTAGCTCCTTACACAATCTAGACAGCAATAATGATATGCAATGGAACATTTTTTTTTCTTGAATCGGGTTTAATTTTTCATGTGAACATAAAAAAAATCATTAAGCCATAATAAATCATATATTCGAAACAACGTCTGATCAGATTATCACCGTTGCATTAGCACCGTTATTTTATTAGAAGTATAAATAAAATTTAATTCTTTTGAAGCAATTGTCTGCATATAGCATATATATCTGATATCAAAAACTTGATCTTATCTTAGGAGAATATGCTACGAACACGTTACAACTGTATTTGAAGTTCCGGTCAGGGTCAATAATCGCTTAAATTCTAAAAGGAGAAGTTGAGTGTAGTACGTAGGACACTCAATAAGTTTTAAGATATGCAAAAGGTATTCTAGATACTATTAATATTTATTTTACATATTTTCAAAATATTCTGCATCATACTCTATACAAAGTTCCATTCGCCTAAACCATCTCTGAAAACACTTTTGCCAGTCTTAATCTGACAGGTCGGAAATTGCTTCTTCGTAGGCAACCACGGCTTCTTCGGCGCTTGAAAAAACTTGCCTTTTATTTTTTCTTTGACTCTTGGGAACAAAAAGAAATTACAAGGAGCTAAGTCAGGGCTGTAGGGTGGGTGACTTAGAGTTTCAACACCAGTTTCCTCAATAAATGCTTTTGTTCTAAGGGAGGAGGCGTTATCGTGATGCAGCATGATTCCGCGAAGGCCGGTCTTTGGCCTTCTTTCCCGCACAGCTTGAAAAGCTTTGGGTAACTCAACTGTAGCATACCAATCAGATTTGATTGACCTAAAATTTTCCAGCATTGCCGTCGACAAATATCCGCTCCGCGAAAAAAATCTAGCCACCATTTTTTTGCCGACGTTGCGAGGTCTTTGCAGTTTTGTCGGTAAATGTCCTTCTGAGTAAACCCATACCGATGATTGCCTTTTATTTTCCCGATCATATTGATAGATCCATGTCTCGTCACCAGTAACGATTTCTGAAACTCGCCTAGATGCCCCGTTTTCAAAACGTAGACGCATTTCATGGCACCAATCCACACGAGTCTGTTTTTCGCTTTCGGAGAGCAAACGAGGGATCCATCGACAAAAGAGCTTCCTCACTCCAAGCTGTTGATGTAGAAGAGTATGAATACTCCCCGAACTAATGCCTACAATCTTTTCGATGTCCGTATATGTGATTCGTGGGTCTTCTCGCACCAACATTTCAGTAGTCCATACATTTTCTGCCGTTACTGCTGTTTGCGGGCCCCGGTTCTTTGGTCATCTTTAAGATTAATTGTAGCCCTTTTGAATTCAGCAAACCACCTAAAACTTGTTGGGTGTGATGGAGCTGAGTCCCCTAATGCTGATTGTAACCGCTGTAAACTTAATTGTTTTGTTTAACCAAATTTAAAATCATAATATATCATAGCGCACTAATGTTCACTGTTAAGATCCATCGTTTTATATGAAAAGCGCTGGAAGCGTTGCAGGAAAATTGTCAGTAGTTGACACTGAGGTAAAGTTTTTTGTTACACAGTGTAATTTAATTGGGAAGTTGGTTTTTAATAAGTTTATCAGTTTCTAGAGTATTATATTAATACACAAAACAATGCGTCAGTGGTTTGGTCTTTAATTTTTTTGCACATTTTTAACTTCTTTTTTTTTAATTTTTCTACTTTTATGAATATCTTTGGTTTGGTTTATTTATTTTTAATGTTATTAATATAAAATATAGCTAATAGTGCAGAAAGAAACAATAACCTTTACATTTTCCGAACAAATTAACTTCCCCTGTCATGTCATGAAATCTGTCAAATATATACATCACTTTCTAGTGGCGCAACCCTGGTGGCAAAAAAAGTTGTGGATCATTGGTTTATGGAGTTCTATTTTTAAATAAATTTGCTTTTTAGAAAAATAACACGGGTGCGTTCCATTTTTAAATTTCGAGTATCTCAAAACTTATTGAGTGACCTACGTATATCCCGTGTAAGTAACAGCTCCAAGGGCTGGTCATCCACTCCTCCACTGTTGTCCATACATAAGTAGTCTCTATGGTGCTTGCTTAGCACTGAAGCATAATGGCGGACGCTCTTCTGTTTCCTAATTCAATAATATTATGTTCTTTTTATCTTATTGTAAACCATAAACTTGATTACTACGTTTTAAATAAATATTTCTAATTGAATAATATTATTTACATTAGAAACTATTTTAATACCTTTGATAAAATTACTGATGTTTATAATATTAACACGCGTAATTTAAACTTGCTGTTCCAAAGTACACATTCAATTAAACTAATGCCTCATTTTTGGTTAGATGTATAAATATTTATAACATGATTCCCTGTACCATTACCGATTTGCCTTTGCATATATTCAAGGCGCATGAAAAGCGCATTCTAATGAAGATAGAATATTTACATAATATGATGACTATTTAAGCGATATGAATACGTGGACATAATAAGCTTTTTTTAAACTGTCTTGGCTATAATATATATCGAAATATATTTTATAAGATTAAATAATATCAGTTGGGAGAAAAATACACTACTTGTGAGTTTCTTACCGCTTTTTCTCTCCCGCTGTAAATACTTATTTTAAACTAGCTTTCCGCCCCGCGGTTTCACCCGCGACATAATGATTTGGATTTTAAAAATTAGCCTATTTATGTTATTCCGGGTCATATTCTATCTGTTTCTTTACATTTCCGCTCAGCAGTTTCAACTGAAGACGAAGTTTTCGTGTTTTCCCGTGGGAATAAATTATTTTACCGCGGTATAAAGTATTCTATGTGTTATTCCAGGTTATATTATATCTGTGTACCAAATTTTATCCAAATCCGTCAAGCCGTTTGAGCGTGAACAAGTAACAAATATACACACACACGCACACACGCACAAACTCTCGGTTTATAATATTAATATTTTAAATAATTGTTGAAGCAATGACGTAGTTTTCTTGACGTTCATAAAGTCCTTTGAAAAGTCAAATTTTAAGTAACTGCTTTGACTTTGATATATTACTTTATAGGTGGAAGGGGAAGATGAATTAGGCGAAGGTGAAGTTGGTAGAAGAAAAATGAAACGGTTTATATTACCAAATCTACCTCGTTGGTGGCAAGCGAAGATCATACAATATGCGTAAGTGGAAATAAATATTGTGACTGTTGTTATATTCTGCAACTATTATTTGAAACGATCCTATGTACCGATAACGAGATATTCCTGATTTAATTCTTAATCAAGGATAAACCTAGATGGCAATGGGCCACAGCATCTACTTACCTCAAGTAAGTACCTGTCAGGTGGACATTTTACTTCATAAATAATATATATATATATATATAATAGAATGGGACGAAATGCTTTATAAACTTACGCCACACTATGTTTTCTTTCACAACAAGTAGATCTATCACCTACTCCCGACAGAGTCGAGTCCAAGCAATTGAGTTTGATTTGAACTCACGGGAACTCTGGAATGTGAATTATATTCTTGAAATTAAAACAAACGAAGGGTGGCTCGAATTGGAATTAACTTCGATCGAATATTTCGTTAGGGTTGATAAATTCATACTCTTCGCCCGATCGAATAGCTTTCAATCGTTTTAATCGATTGAAATCAAATTTCAAAATTCACGATAACAATAAAGGTATGTACTTTGTTTGAATCTTAAGGTGTTGATTTTATACATTTGATTTCTTCTGTTTATATCGTCGTAGCTCGTCTTGTGTTTTTGTAAGAAAACGCAAGACGCAAAACATGAACATTCGGGCAAAAAAGTTATGCTCGTATCTTGAGGATGAGTCAAAAAGTTGAGTGTTTGTTAAGATGATTACTTAATTTTTCCTATAGACTTAGTCTTCTGTTGCGTTACCCAAAGAATTGAGCACTATTAAATCTCTTCCCATTTATGCTTAATTTAATTGGGAGTTTGCCGCAAGAATTTTAAATGACCTTCAGCAATTTTTGTAAATTAGAATACTTTATATGTGAGTGCTATGGACAAGGTAAGTATATCAAAACAGACTTTAACAATAATTAAATAAATTATACGCACATCAAAGCAGTTAAAAAATGTAAGTACTCCAATTTAAAAACTAGTGTTAACTAATAAAACTGCATAAGTACCTATAAGAAGTATTTAAATTTAATAGTACCCCTACTATTAAATTTAAATACTTCTTAGCCCTAGAGTCTAAATAGGGATTTAATCGAGCGTCGTGAGGACCTATTGGATAATGTATGCCCTTTCACTGGTGGGGAGAGCGTGTACAGGTTTTCAAATATGTACAAAATACAGTCGCAAAGAAATACTTCGACGCTTCAGATATTGATAGTGTATGCGCCCCACGTGTTTTTAATAACGGAGAAATTGCTGCCGGTTTGCATGGTGGGAGTGGCCGTACGAAGGGATAGAAAATAGGAAAAAAAAATTATTCGTGCGTGTCAGATATTGAGAAGGGATGTTAAGTGAACCCTCAAGTAGCTCCTATTAAAAAGACTGATGATTTGGACGCTACTAAAAGTCACGGCCAATTTTTGAAAATGCAAAAAATATCGTTACATTGAAATACTCGAGCGCGTCAGATTATTATTCAGATGCTTCATTTTGATGTCCTTGTCGTACTGACAATTATGTGGTGGAATTTCCTTAAGGCGATACCCCGTCCAAAACCTTGCGATAGTATGTTTTTCAGAGACTATTATCTAATTAGTTATGAGAAATAAACTACATCTAAAAGCACATTATTAGTATTCGATATCCTATCATCACATTCCACGTTCTGATTTGTTTTTATGTGTTATAAATAAATTTAAAGTCTACTTTTAAAAAATGTCTAAAATTATTAATTACATGTATCTGTTGCTAAAGGCAACTCTCTAATCATTTGAGGATTACAATATAGAATAGAACAGAATGATTTTTATCGAATATTAATTATTACATAATACTTATTGAAAGTCATTTTTTATTTACCACTGGTTCAGAAGATAACTCTGTCCTGTGAAGAACCAGCAAGAAACCCAGCGGGACTTTTTTTAAACATAATTTCACTTAACAATAATTTTATTTATACAATTTTAAATGAATTTTCACAGAACCACCATGGTGGCGATCACCTCATTCCTAGGGGTTATTTTCATTCACGTATTGCTTGATATTATAATAACCCTTTTTGTACAGTTTTTCTTTAATAAAACTTTTAAACTTGTTTATTGACAAACTTTGAACATGTTCTGGGATTTTGTTGTAAAAGAATATATACATTGCCCCATAATCATCATTCATCATTACAGCCCTTCACAAGTCCACTGCTGAACATAGGCCTCCCCCAAAGAATGCCACAAAGCACGGTCCTGAGCCACCTGCATCCATCGACTTCCTGCATATATACATTGCCCCATAAATGAATTACTAATTCTGTGGAGTCTAGTAAGTGGCATTACAAGCTTATGTTTGTTCCTAGTGTTTAAGGTATGAACATCCCTATTCTTATTAAAGCTATTTATGTTTTTATGTACATACATTACATTTTCATAAATATATTGCAATGCCAAAGTTAATATGTTTATTTCTTTAAAGTTTTCTCTGAGGGACTCTTTACAATTTAGGTTATAAATCAACCGCACGGCTCTCTTTTGCAAAACAAATATAGCTTCAATATCAGTCGCATTACCCCCTAGCAAAATTTCATAAGACATTACGCTATGAAAGTAACTAAAATACACTAATCTAGCTGTCTCATTATCTGTGAGACTTCTAATCTTTCTTACATCATATGATGCAGAACTAAGTCTACTTGATAATTTAGATATATGGAGGCCCCATTGAAGTTTCTCGTCAATAGTAATACCAAGAAAAACAGTGGTATCCACAAGACTCAACTCTTCCCATTTTAAGTGCACATTTGTTTTCGAATGTTTTACATTAGGTATTGTAAATTTAATAAATTTTGTCTTATTGCCGTTTAAGAGCAAATTTTTGGCGTTAAATCAATGTACTAATTTCGATAGAGCATTATTTATATCGTCATAATTAATTGACTGCCCTTTGAGTTTGAAAATTAAAGAGGTATTGTCAGCAAATAATACTATATCGTGATTGTCCCCTACATGCTAATAATAATAATTAATAATAATTTAATTATTTATTTATTGGTAAAAGTACATGTTTTACAGAGTGTGTGGGCCTTATCCATTTAAGTTTAAATAAACTTGTCCTAGGATAAAGCGCTCTTCAAGTTTGTAATAATTCATACATGTATATTAACAATTTTTTTTTAAATTCCTAGAACTCGGCAACGGAGTAACATCCAAAAAGTAAATTATAGTAAATCATCTACATCTAAAAAAAAAAACTAAAAAACATAACAAATCTTATCTAATTTAAATTCGGTCATCAAGATGTCATACCAAATTTTCAGTCTTAAGGTAATCCAATTGCTTCAGCCAAGCAATTAACGTTCTTTTGCATTCCAGAAATGAGATGTTATAAATGTGTAGTACTCTATTTATTTTGTTATATAAAATTATTGATTTTGAGCAGTATTGATTTTGTGCAAAAACGGTTTTAGATATTTTATTTCGAATAACACAGTATGGATTTCGTTTAGCATTGATTTTATCATCAGGAGTATTGGTTTTATGAGTTTTTAGAACACACAGTAAGATATAAAGCTGTCTAACGGTAAGAACATTACAATCATCGTATACTTTCACGGTGCTGTATGTAATTTTTTTCATTAGTATAACTTTCAAGATCGACCTTTGAGCACGTTCAAGCTGAATTAATTTCGTTTTGTGCGTTCCACCCCAAATAGGCAAACAGTAACTGATGATCGACTGCACTAAAGTTTTATATATATGAATCAGAAGTTGTCTGTCCGCAACATATCTAAGATATTTAAATAACCATATCATTTTTCTAACTCTTGATGTACAATTTTCAATTTGTCTTTGCCAATTTAATTGCTGATCTATATATATACCAAGATATTTAACGGAAGATTAAGGTAAGTCATTAATATAGATTAAGAACAGGAATGGGCCAAGAATCGAGCCCTGAGGAAAGCCAATTGATATTACCGATCCGGAGGAATTTTTACCATTTATCATGACTTTTTGAGTTCTGTTACTTAAATATGAACTAATAAGTCATAGCGCCAAATTTTTTACACCGTAATGTTGTAGTTTCCTGATTAATGTCTTATGATGAATACAATCGAAAGCCTTGGAAAGGTCACAGAAAATACCTGAGGCATTTTGTGAATTCTCCCAAGCATCAAAAATATATTTCATAAGCTCAACACCGGCGTCAGACGTCGAGCGACCCCTTGTAAACTAATGGATAGATAATTTAAAAATCTATATTATTCACGTTTTATTAAATTTTTAAAGTTCGCTTTTCTTTTTTAATTAAAATTAATTCCATAAATTGTGTGAACTCTATGATAAATGGGCGTACGCAGAGTGCGGGCGGCAGTGCACTGCATGCTCAAGGTTATTTGGTCAGAGAAACGCCTTAATTTGCGGGTTGGAAATTTTTTTAACATTTTTTTTAAATTACTGAATGTAATAAATACAATATAAAATATATATATGTATACAGGTAAAATTCTATACTGTATTTAGAAAAAAATAGTATAATAAGAAAGAAAATAGTATTTTTTTCAATCTTCGTTGTCAGTGGAATCATCTTCACATTCGAAGTTCGGTCCGACTTGAGTCGTTTTTATCTACGATCAAAAATTCTACTTCATTGAATGTGCCGCGGGATTTTCTGCGAACCGGTTTACTTTGACGATATTCCAAAACCGTCTTACATTTTTTTATGTTTCCGACGTAAATTTTATTATTTTTAATAATGTTTTTTATTCACAAATTACACAGTTCGAACCATTGTCACTCATTGTTGTAACATATACCAAACTTAATGCACTGAATTCAATAAATGTTTTTTAAAACCTAATAAAAACGAAGTCGTTGTACATGCACACGTTGTTGTGATCACCTGTGATGGCATCATGGGGACGGAACGGCCTATGGAGACAGTGAGAGAGAATGAGAGATAGAGAAAGAGTGAGAAGGGTAGAGTGGCGCGAAATGGGAAATACAACATAGTTCTCAGCAGCTGCAT